ATATACAGTTGAAGTCGGAAGTTTACATACACATAGTTTGGAGTCATTAAAACTTGTTTTTCAACCACTCCACAAATTTCTTGTTAACAAACTATAGTGCATGACTTGTGCATGACACAAGTAATTTTTCCAACAATTGTTTACAGACAGATTATTTCACTTATAAGTCACTGCATCACAATTCCAGTGGGTCAGAAGTTTACATACACTAAGTTGACTGTGCCTTTAAACAGCTTGGAAAATTCCAGAAAATGATGTCATGGCTTTAGAAGCCATGACCAGTCAGGTTTCAAGACTGGTCATTCAACTGAGACTGCTCTTCTCTGTGTCACGGAGGCTCTCCGCACTGCTAAAGCTAACTCTCTCTCCTCTGCTCTCGTCCTTCTAGACCTATCTGCTGCCTTTGATACTGTGAACCATCAGATCCTCCTCTCCACCCTCTCCGAGTTGGGCATCTCCGGCGCGGCACACTCTTGGATTGCGTCCTACCTGACAGGTCGCTCCTACCAGGTGGCGTGGCGAGAATCTGTCTCCGCACCATGTGCTCTCACCACTGGTGTCCCCCAGGGCTCAGTTCTAAGCCCTCTCCTATTCTCGCTATACACCAAGTCACTTGGCTCTGTCATATCCTCACATGGCCTCTCCTATCATTGCTACGCAGACGACACACAATTCATCTTCTCCTTTCCCCCTTCTGATAACCAGGTGGCGAATCGCATCTCTGCATGTCTGGCAGACATATCAGTGTGGATGACGGATCACCACCTCAAGCTGAACCTCGGCAAGACGGAGCTGCTCTTCCTCCTGGGGAAGGACTGCCTGTTCCATGATCTCGCCATCACGGTTGACAACTCCGTTGTGTCCTCCTCGAAGAGTGCAAAGAGCCTTGGCGTGACCCTGGACAACACCCTGTCGTTCTCCGCTAACATCAAGGCGGTGACCCGATCCTGTAGGGTCATGCTCTACAACATTCGCAGAGTACGACCCTACCTTACACAGGAAGCGGCACAGGTCCTAATCCAGGCACTTGTCATCTCCCGTCTGGATTACTGCAACTCGCTGTTGGCTGGGCTCCCTGCCTGTGCCATTAAACCCCTACAACTCATCCAGAACGCCGCAGCCCGTCTGGTGTTCAACCTTCCCAAGTTCTCTCACGTCACCCCGCTTCTCCGCACACTCCACTGGCTTCCAGTTGAAGCTCGCATCTGCTACAAGACCATGGTGCTTGCCTACGGAGCTGTGAGGGGAACGGCACCTCTGTACCTTCAGGCTCTGATCAGTCCCTACACCCAAACGAGGGCATTGCGTTCATCCACCTCTGGCCTGCTGGCCCCCCTACCTCTGCGGAAGCACAGTTCCCGCTCAGCCCAGTCAAAACTGTTCGCTGCTCTGGCACCCCAATGGTGGAACAAGCTCCCTTACGACGCCAGGACAGCGGAGTCACTCACCACCTTCCGGAGACACTTGAAACCCCACCTCTTTAAGGAATACCTGGGATAGGATAAAGTAACCCCCCCTTACCCCAACCCCCCCCCCCCCAAAAAAAAAAAGTGGTTGTCCCACTGGCTATCATAAGGTGAATGCACCAATTTGTAAGTCGCTCTGGATAAGAGCGTCCGCTAAATGACGAAAATGTAATGTAAAAAATGTTGAGTCAATTGGAGGTGTACCTGTGGATCTATTTCAAGGCATACCTTCAAATTCAGTGCCTCTTTGCTTGACATCATGGGAAAATCAAAAGAAATCAGCCAAGACCTCATAAAATTCCAAACGCCTGAAGGTACCACGTTCATCTGTACAAACAATAGTACGCAAGTATAAACACCATGGAACCACGCAGCCGTCATATCGCTCAGGCTGGAGACGCGTTCTGTCTCCTAGAGATTAACATACTTTGGTGTGAAAAGTGAAAATCAATCCCAGAACAACAGCAAAGGACCTTGTGAAGATGCTGGAGGAAACAGGTACAAAAGTATCTATATCCACAGTAAAACGAGTCCTATATCGACATAACCTGAAAAGCCGCCCAACAAGGAAGAAGCCACTGCTCCAAAACCGCCATAAAAAAGCCAGACTACAGTTTGCAACTGCACATGGGGACAAAGATCTTACTTTTTGCAGAAATGTCCTCTGGTCTGATGAAACAAAAATAGAACTGTTTGTCCATAATGACCATTTTTATGTTTGGAGGGAAAAGGGGGACAGCTTGCAAGCCAAAGAACACCATCCCAACCGTGAAGAACGGGGGTGGCAGCATCATGCTGTGGGGGTGCTTTGCTGCAGAAGGGACTGATGCGCTTCACAAAATAGATTTCATCTTGAGGAAGGAAAATTATGTGGATATATTGAAGCAACATCTCAAGACATCAGTCAGGAAGTTAAAGCTTGGTCACAAATGGGTCTTCCAAATGGACAATGGACCCCAAGCAGACTTCCAAAGTTGTGGCAAAATGGCTTAAGGACAACAAAGTCAAGGTATTGGAGTGGCCATCACAAAGCCCTGACCTCAATCCTATAGAACATTTGTGGGCAGAACTGAAAAAGCGTGTGCGAGCAAGGAGGCCTATAAACCTGACTCAGTTACACCAGCTCTGTCAGGAGGAATGGGCCAAAATTCATCCAACTTATTGTGGGAAGCTTGTGAAAGGCTACCCAAAACGTTTGACCCAAGTTAAATAATTTAAAGGCAATGCTACCAAATACTAATTGAGTGTATGTAAACTTCTGACCCACTGGGAATGTGATGAAATAAATAAAAGCTGAAATAAATCACTCTACAATTATTCTGACATTTCACATTCTTAAAATAAAGTGGTGATCCTAACTGACCTAAGACAGGGAATTTTTACTAGGATTAAATGTCAGGAATAGTGAAAAACTGAGTTTAAATGTATTTGGCTAAGGTGTATGTAAACGTCCGACTTCAACTGTAGTATGCTTACGTACTTATTGTGTTATTCATATTTCTCGTTTTTTATTTTAGTTTTTATTTTAGTATTATATTGTTATTGATTATTGCATTGTTGGGTTTTGAGTTTGCAAGAAAGGCATTTCACTGTTCTTGTGCATGTGACATTAAAACTTGAAACTTGAACAGATGTGTAAAAATGATCAGTATGGCAACCTGAGGGGAAACGTGTATGTGTTTATTGTTTTCTTTTGTATTGTTTTGGAAAAACTCAGGATATTGCATCTATGCATTCAAAGACAAAACTATTGTTATGCCGATGGTGTGATAACACACTGAAACAAAGACCTTGAGCCAATACAAAAAATATTCCCTCACATTTGTTCATCCAGAATTGCTGAAATTTGTATGTACACAAAATATCGTCTGATGCGGACTCAAGTGTGAACATGTAAGTTGTGACACATTGTTAGGATGAGTGCAGTCATAAATAATGGAGACAGCTATTATTACTGCACTATACAATTGTAAAAGGTTTAAAGGCCGATTGTCAATGATGATCAACCTTTGGTGATTTTAATATCATCAACAATATTTAGAATGGAAATAACTGATTCAAAGGCTGGTGTTATAAAACTGTTTTATAAAATAATTTTGTAATGTATCATAACAGCGTTACAAAAGAGTATTACAAAATACCTTGATCAGATCAGTTTCAGGATCATTGTAATTGACAGTTTAACAACATCATTTCACACCTTTCCACCTCATATCATGTCTGTCATTTAATATACTAAGTAAATAATTGGGGAGTTATTCTGACAATTATCAATTATCTTTATCTGTCGAATTCAAGGTGCTAATGGTTGGATAATTTATTTGTGTCCTGCAGGGAATTGAATTTAACTTAATGTGCTTCTGGAGTTTCATAAGATGTGGAGTTCCATACATAGAGATCCATAAGACCTTGTCTTTGAGTGATGATATGCTGCTTTTACGCCTTTGGTGAATTCCTGCAAAATTACCCTCCAGAATGACTGTCCTGTTAATTACTGGCTTGACACATCTGAGGAGAATTCTGCCAATGTTTCCTTCAGATGCCCAGAAACTCTACTCAAGTCTACTGCCTTGGCTGCTCAATTCCTGCTGCTTGTCCATTTTCATATGAAGTTCACTCATCAATTTCAGCTTGGTTGCTCAATTCCTGCTATTTTCATTCCTGCTTAACTTATCTAAGTTGCTAATCAACTCTTCCTGTATGTACCTTTAAAACAATGTAGAATAACCTTTAAAACATATCCCCATCATTTTATCGTCATTATCTACATAATAGTCATTTCACATCTTAAAACTATCTGAAAAGATGAATGTATCTGAAAACTCACAGTGCAAATAACATTTATAAAAGCCCTATCGCAAAAATATGGCTACCATCCACCATTAAGGTTAGTCCTATATACAGTATAGGTTGAATAGCTGAGGTAAGAAACACATTACCTCAATACAATATCTGAGATCTGATGAAAGAAAATAAATCATGAATACACATTTTATATTTGCATATATTCCTAAAATATACATTACTTACGTATGGACTGTTTAATTGGGCACTGAACATTTCGTTCAAAAGTACTATACATCATCTTTTCAAATTAGCAAGATGTTATGTGTGCATCTCTAGCTCAACCATGCCACTTCCCTTGTACTCATGATTTGCGGTTGGATTAAGAATGGAATCTGGGTTCAGAGGGCACTGTTCAGGAGTTTGCTGCTTCTGGTTGAGGGCCTTGTTGGGTTCTGGGCGACAGAGCTGTTTTAGGCTCTGTGAAAACAGGTTGTCGATAAAAACAGAAATCTAATAACATGCATTTTACAGTACTGATCAAAGAAGAGTAATAAATCGAAACAATCTAAATTACATCTGTGATATTGCAAAATGTACGTTTTTGGTAAGCCCAAAGTCATTACTGAAGTATAAATCCCTACTTTTATGGTTCTACGTTATAATCTTTATAAACAGTTTACCAAGCAATGTATGCCGTGGGCACAGGAAGATGGCATCTCCTCGCCACTTTCTCAGTAGTCTTACCTGCCAGACTGTCAATTTGGACCGATAGACCTTCCAGATCATCCACAGAGGCACCAGAGCCACACAGGCAAGCCCCAGGAACCACCCCAATGCATACGCCCAGTCAGGGTACACATAGGTTTTGTTGAACTTTAGGGGCTTGTACTGTACCAAGGAAAAGATGAAGGTACCCTGAAGACAAACAAATAATAACATAGGCATGTCATTCTATCATGAATTGTTATGGATTTGTATTGTTTCTTGGGCATGTTGCATGAGATAATATCATTCATATTAAAACCATAATATTATAGTTGATGTTTTTTATGTATATTTTCCTTGAAGAAAGATTTTTGACAAAACAGCAAGCCAACCACTCACCAAACAGACTGTAGGGGTAACATAAAGCCAACAGTACTTCATCACTGGCCAGGGACGATACCCAATCATATCTTCTATGTTGTCATAGAGACGATCTGCTCCTGTAAATAAAAAGTATAACACAGAGTTTGGGTCTACTTTGTTTACATTTCAACAAATTCAGGAAATGTATTTATATGAGTTTCAATGAGTATCAGTCTGTGAATTCTTAAATTCTTTCTCTGAATTTGCTCAGAGTGAAGCTTTTAAAATATTTAATTTGAAACACAAGTATTTTATGACCAACCAAGGGTTCAGCTAGGTTGATTGGTAAGGACATATAGGGGAGATATATCATGTTCAGGCAAACTTATGGATGGCTTCTCCATAATGAAGTATCATATCAATTATATTCCCATCATAAATCAAAGGTATCTGACCCTGAGAAGAAAAAAACGCATCTAGTCAGCATCCAGGGGGTTATAACACCTTTTGACAGGATTGCAGCACATCTGACATGGCTATTGACATCATTTCTGGATACGTTCCTACCTGCTGCATTGGGTGTGTCAGGAAAGGCTGGGGGCCGTATGTATTAAGATTCTCAGACTAGGAGTGCTGATTTAGGATCCGTTTTGCCTTTTAGATCAAAATGAAAAAGATTACATGAACAGGGGGGACCTGATCCTAGTGCAGCACTCAAACACTGAGACACTTAATACATACGGCCCAAGATGTCAACGTACAGTCCGGAGGTCAGGAGACATACAGTGGCTTGCTAAAGTATTCACCCCCTTGGCATTTTTCCTATTTTGTTGCCTTACAACCTGGAATTAAAATTGATTTTTGGGGGGTTTGTATTATTTGATTTACACAACATGCCTACCACTTTGACGATGCAAAATATTTTTTGGTGTGAAACAAAAAAAAAAAAAACTTGAGCGTGCATAACTATTCAATACTTTGTAGAGACACCTTTTGCAGCAATTACAGCTGCAAGTCTCTTGGGGTATCTCTCTATAAGCCTGGCACATGTAGCCACTGGGATTTTTGCCCATTCTTCAAGGCAAAACTGCTCCAGCTCCTTCAAGTTGGATGGGTTCTGCTGGTGGACAGCAATCTTTAAGTCATACCACAGATTCTCAATTGGATTGAGGTCTGGGCTTTGACTAGGCCATTCCAAGACATTTAAATGTTTCCCCTTAAACCACTCGAGTGTTGCTTTAGCAGTATGCTTAGGGTCATTGTCCTGCTGGAAGGTGAACCTCCGTCCCAGTCTCAAATCTCTGGAAGACTGAAACAGGTCTCCCTCAAAAATTTCCCTGTAGTTAGTGCCATCCATCATTCCTTCAATTCTGACCAGTTTCCCAGTCCCTGCCGATGGAAAAACATCCCCACAGCATGATGCTGCCACCACCATGCTTCACTGTGGGGATGGTGTTCTCGGGGTGATGAGAGGTGTTGGATTTGCGCCAGACATAGCGTTTTCCTTGATGGCCAAAAAGCTCAATTTTCGTCTCATCTGACCAAAATACCTTCTTCCATATGTTTGGGGAGTCTCCCACATGCCTTTTGGTGAACACCAAACGTGTTTGCTTATTTTTTTCTTTAAGCAATGGCTTTTTTCTGGCCACTCTTCCATAAAGCCCAGCTCTGTGCAGTGTACGGCTTAAAGTGGTCCTATGGACAGATCCTCCAATCTCCGCTGTGGAGCTTTATAGCTCCATCAGGGTTGTCTTTGGTCTCTTTGTTGCCTCTCTGATTAATGCCCTCCTTGCCTGGTCCGTGAGTTTTGGTGGGCGGCCCTCTCTTGGCAGGTTTGTTGTGGTGCCATATTCTTTCCATTTTTTTATAATGGATTTAATGGTGCTCCGTTTGATGTTCAAAATTTCTGATCTTTTTTTATAACCCAACCCTGATCTGTATGTCTCCACAACTTTGTCCCTGACCTGTTTGGAGAGCTCCTTGGTATTCATGGTGCCACTTGCTTGGTGGTGCCCCTTGCTTAGTGGTGTTGCAGACTCTGGGGCCTTTCACAACAGGTGTATATATACTGAGATCATGTGACACTTAGATTGCACACAGGTGGACTTTATTTTACTAATTATGTGACTTCTGAAGGTAATTGGTTGCACCAGATCTTATTTAGGGGCTTCATAGCAAAGGGGGTGAATACATATGCACGCACCACTTTTCCTTTATTTATTTTAAACAAGTTATTTTTTTCATTTCACTTCACCAATTTGGACTATTTTGTGTATGTCCATTACATGAAATCCAAATAAAAATCCATTTAAATTACAGGTTGTAATGCAACAAAATAAGAAAAACGGCAAGGGGGATGAATACTTTTGCAAGGCATTGTATTAGATTCATCCTCGGGTGTTGCTGTCTCCTTCCTTCTCATTAGAAGACTTCTAGGATCTATTTACCCTAACACGCACCTCATTCTGTAAGGGATCGGGGGTTGGCTGGGTCTAGACAGAGTCTGACACTTCCCCGATCTACAGAGAGGGGGAGTCATCAGACTCGATCTGGTTCACCTGAGTTCTGAGCACACCTGTCCGTAATTAGGGTAGGATATAAGGTGTGCTCAGAGGTTTAGTCGGTGCGAGGTATTGTTCCTTTGTGACTTGCTAAGCGTTTTGTTCCGAGAGAGAGAGAGAGTTTGTTGTTTTGATTAACCGTGTATCCGACCTGTGCCTTGTTTGACTCCCCGAATTGCTTAATCCTCTGCTTGTCTACCCCAGTGATTACCGTGCTCTGATCCTGTGCCTGTGCCCTCGACTACGACTAAGCCCGCTCCTTTGGTACCTCTGCCTGTCTATGCCTTGCCCGGTTTTGACCACAGCCCGCCCGACCACGATTAAGCTATACCCTTGTCTGTATCTAATAAAGCATCGCTATTCTGCGATTGGATCTTACCACTCTGTCCGAGTATTCATTACAGAATACCTCGCCATTACCATGGATCCAGCGGAATTACAGAGGCGATGGGAGATACAGGAGAAACGGATGGATGAACTCCTACAGCTACTCCACGCTGGTGCGGCTGAAGGCACCACACCGAGCACGGTCAGTCCTCGTCATGCACCTCCGATTTCTCTACCTACAAGGTACGACGGGGAACCTGGCAAATGTCAGGGGTTTCTACTCCAGATGTCCCTGTATCTGTCATATAATCGTACTATGTTTTCCGATGACCGTAGCAGGGTGGATTTCATGATTTCTCTGCTAACGGGAAGAGCACTGGATTGGGCTACTGCGCTTTGGGCAGCTGAGGTCCCCGAGCTGAATGCGGAAGTTCAGTTCAAGAGACTGTTTCAAGAGGTGTTCGACCACCCAGTATCTGGGCGTAGTGTGGGAGACCAACTGTGCGAACTTCAGCAGGGCCGTCGCACAGTAGCCGACTACGCTTTAGAGTTCCGTACTATAGCAGCCGGTAGCGGATGGAGCGAGACTGCTTTGCTCACAGTTTTCCGAAGAGGGCTGCGCAAAGACGTACAGACTGAGTTGGCTTGTCGAGGAGATATCACTGCGCTACATGAGTTTATCAAAATAGCCATCGCTATTGATAATCTTATAGTGCAACACAAGGCATCCACTGTTCGGGAGCCCTCGATCACTGGTCCTATGCAATCGACAGAGCGGAGGAGAGAATCTGAGGAGGAACCTATGCAACTGGGACGGTCACCTCTACAAGGGTCGGTGAGACAACAACGTCGGCAAGACGGACTATGCCTGTATTGTGGTCAGTCGGGTCATTTCGTTCGTCAAGGTCCGGTACGACCTAACCATACCCCAGGATATCGCCTCGGAACTGCCAAACCGGTGAGTGAGACTCCCGTTTTGAACATTACATCTAGACAAATGTATGTACCGGTTACCTTATCTGTCGGAGAGAAAGTGCGCAGGTTGGAAGGACTTATTGATTCCGGAGCGGCGGCCAGCTTTCTGGATATGGGTCTTGCTGAGGAGTTGGGGGTTCAACTTATCCCAATTCAACCTCCCCTGCGAGTCAACGCGCTAGACGGTGAGCCCATGGGCACTGGGTTCATTACGCACCGTACCGGGGAGATCAAGTTACAAGTGGGCTCTCTGCACCATGAGAACATAATTCTGTTCGTCATCTCCGCTCCACGGGAGCCGCTAGTCCTCGGCCACCCCTGGCTCGTTACCCATGATCCGGTCATCTCCTGGAAATCTGGCGATATCACGGCTTGGAGTGAGGTATGTAGGGCTGAGTGCCTCATTTTACCTTGCAAAACGTTCTACTGTGGAGGATGCGAAGGGTGCGGTGTCTACTGTTGTTCCTACAGAGTACCAGGATTACGCGCCGGTGTTCTCCAAGGAGAGGGCTACCGTGTTACCACCGCATCGGGCCTGGGATTGTGCAATTGATCTGCTATCCGGGGCTACACCTCCTCGCGGACGAATCTACCCTTTGTCACAGCCGGAACGGGAATCAATGAGCAAGTTATTGACGAGGCACTTCAGCAAGGGGCCATTCGCCCATCTACGTCTCCAGCGGCATCCAGTTTTTTCTTTGTTAAGAAAAAGGATGGCGGACTGCGTCCTTGGTATAGACTATCGAGGTTTGAACGATATCACCATTAAAAATCGTTACCCCCTTCCTTTGATTCCAGCAGCCCTCGAGCAGGTGGGGCAGGCCTCCATCTACAGTAAACTGGACCTCAGGAGTGCGTACAATCTGGTGCGCATTAGAGAGGGGGATGAATGGAAGACCGCCTTCATCACCCATCGAGGACATTATGAATATTGTGTCATGCCCTATGGACTTACTAACGCGCCCTCGGTGTTCCAGGCGTTCATGAATGACATTTTTAGGGACTTGATTGATCGTTTCATCATAGTGTACATTGATGACATCCTAATTTACTCTAACTCTCTGAGTGAACATGTGTCCCATGTACGACAGGTTCTGGACCGACTCCGCCAACACTCTCTGTTCGTGAAGGCCGAGGAGAGTGAGTTCCATGTCACGACGATTTCCTTCCTTGGGGCCATACTCACTCCCGACGGGATAAGACTGGATGAATCCAAGGTACAAGCTGTACGAGACTGGCCTCAACCCCAGACGGTGAAAGAGCTTCAGAGATTC